AAATCAAGGGCTCCTATTTTCAATTTTTGGCTAAAAACTAGGTTTCTACATATTTAAGCACATAACATTTTGCTTTGGCTTTCATAAAAATGTATAACTAAGGGGTATATATACAAAATTACTACTCTTTTAGCTTTGGTTGCATTTCTGTCCTTAATCGTTTAAAGAAGAAAAAACCCTGGGCATTGATTGTTTTGATGTATTTCCCTGGCATATACATGGAGTTTACTAACATTGTCCTGACCTTGGAAATGGTGTGATATTTTACAGTGTGCAGTGACATTTATGTGCCCAGTTGGGCTCCTATAAAGAGGTTAATTTCCATAGATTAAATGTCAGGTTTGAAACAGTACAAAGTAATTTAATAACCCTGTGCCATCCATTTGCATTCACGGTTGGGGCAGTTGACTGGTTACTTCTCTCTACTACTAATTCACAATTGAGACAGAAATTCCTTAACTATAAAAAGGTCAAAATTGGAGTCTTGAAAATATTGATGCAATCAGTATGATACAATGTGAGACTTTCAAATGTTCTGTAGCTACCATCAACTCCCCACCCCCCACTAATTCAGATGAGGAAAAAACAACTCAAATCTAGACAGAAATATTTTAACATCACAGGTTGCACTGCATTAACTTGTCTGCTGCAGTTAAGGGCCTCTTAAAAGTAGCAAAATAACATAACAATACTTATTTTTGGTACTGAGTTAATTTTTTAGATAACAAAAATAAACTTCAGAAATTTACAGTTGGGGCCTGTTGAACTGGAAACTTATTTTGGTTTTGCAGAATATAGCATTATCAGCCCTGTTTTGGTTTTGCAAAATTAAAGCAGGAGTGGTTTGGATCTGGATTTCACTTCGTATAAAAGCAGAGGAACCAAGGTGCCAGTTTTGGCAGTATGGATTTTCTTTTGAACTCATAAAGTCTCACATCTCTCTTTTGGTTGGAGGCCTAGCCTTTAAAAATGGACTGCATGATTTTTTTAAATCAGTTCTGACTGTTAAATTATGGGCTCATTTCTACTGTGCCTGTTTTTCTTAAAGCAGATTGCAATGTAAAATTATTTTGATATATGACTTTAGTTTAAAGAACTATTGATGCAAAAATAATTAAACAAAAAAGACTACTTTTTTGACAGTGACATGAGCTCAACCATGACAAGAAAGGAAAGGACACTGATTTAAAACACTCACTTCTAGTGTGCCCCTGCATGTTCATTGAGTACCATATTTTTTTAATGCTGTATTCAGTAGCAAACTTGAAACCAAAGTTAACTTTCAGAGTCTGGTTCTAAGCTGTTCTTTATTTTTGTCCTAAAAATACTGACTGGGGTAACCTCTGATAGGTAATCTTAGTTTTGGTAATCTTTCCAGGGAATGTGAGCCACCTATCCTTTATTTATATAAAAAGATTGGAGAAAGTCAAATATTATTCTTTGGGCTTTTGGAGTAAGATGTTCATGGTGAGTCACTTCTTCGGAAGAAGAACCCACTAACAACCCACCAGCTGTTGACCTACTGCCATGTATGCTCAGGATTTGTTGCTAACTCAAGAAGCAGGTGTTACTGGCTACAAGATACAGTGGAATTCTTACAGCAGTGCTAAAATTAGAGGATTTTTTGGGAAGGCTGAGGGGGGACATGTCTATGTCAGCTTCTCGGAAGGTTCTTTTTTCTCCCTTTTCAAATAATCTTTTTTTATTTCCAACCTCTTCACAAGTTAAAAACCTGCAAATAGCTGTTAAATTTAAGCAATGCTCTTCCTCTGCTTCTAAACGTCCTTTATCAAGCCTGCAGTTGGGTGATGTGTACTGAAGTGCTACTGCAAGACTGAACCCTACGCAGTGGGGATGTCTAGGTAGCTACCTCACACAATAGCTGCATTAGTCTCAAGGCATGTTGCTTTAGTATAAAATAGACTTGCACTGGTATGCAGCTCAGTGCTTGAGAGAACAGAGGATACTGACTTCAGAAATAAAACCACAGTATAATAGCTAGCATGGTATTGTGTAACCCATAACATCTGAAACAGTAAAGCAGCTCATCTGTCCCCATGACTTCCCTTTATCTCCATTTGCTAACGCGACAGGCAGTATATGCTTGCTACAAAGTCCGTTATTCCTATAGCAAGGGGGAATCTTTCTGTGGGAGGCCAATGATACCACATTTTATATGATCAGTGGGAGCAACATATTTTCCATAGATTTATCAGAGACTCAGTGGAAGGGCTGACTCAGTACTTAACAAAGTCCATAGGAATCTTTCAGTTGATTTTAATGCAGATGCATCAGACACTTCATGAGGATGCAAGTTTCCACCTAAATTATAAATGGGCCAAGAAACTTGTAAATGTGTAGTTTTGAAGTACGTCTAATTTGAAGCCTCCACCTGTTATGTTGAACTGAACTATGTAGTTGAGATATCAATGTGCCTTCTGATAAATAGGACACAGTATACACATTACAAGCTTGCTAAATGCCATATGACAAATGTTTTCAAGCAGAGTTTGTAGCTTTGCAGCCTGAAGGCTGCCTAGTGTGTCACATAATGACCTACTGACATTGTTAATGGGTCTGTTTGCTTTTTTTTTCTTTTACCCACAATGTTTACAAAAACTAGATTGCTATTAGTGAAAAGTCTTTGGATGAAGCACGTTGCACTGTGTTTACTTATATACAAAATATAGTAAATAATGTACAACGGTAGATGTCTTCACAGGTGGGTGAATGAGGGCCAAATTCATATATGGTTGACAAAGCAAAGCTGGTTAAACTGTTAAGAGTTTTTGACTAATCATAGAGAGAGAAAATTATTACAATGTAAAGTTTGATACTTCATATTGACACTTTGTTAGTATGCACTATTTTTGTCCATTGAGCAGATTAACTGGGATCCATTAAATTGCACAGCTATGTTTTGTTACACAAGCTACCTGTAAAGTACACACTGTGCACTAGAACCTTTTGGCCCTTTGTCCATGGGCCAGACTGGACTCAGTGCACCAGGATCAGGCCTGACCTCTCAGATCGGGCCCTGTACAGCCTTGGCTGGTCCCTGTGCATTGTGATCAGGTCCTATGCCCCCTGTGTACCAGAATTGGGCCCTGGGACCCTGACCAGCTCTGCATGCTAGGATCAGGCTCTGTAGCCGTAAGCCACCCCTGCCCAGTCCTGTGTGCTGGGACTGGGCCTCGCCATGTCCTGCATATATGATCTACAGGGCTACAGCCTGTGGGGCTCCCCACAGACCCATGGGGAGTCCTGCAGGCTGGATGACACAGTAGTAGGGGACAAGCACCCTTCCACTAGACTAAAAACTGTTGCTTGGTTATATATCTAACTTGCCTACATTTCCAGTTTGCCTTGGCTTAGTTGTAGCAAAGACCATTTTAATAGCATCCTTGCTAAATGTCTCTTTCTAAGTTCTTTGACAGGGAAAGCTTCTTTCATAGACTTCATAGACATTAGGGGTTGGAAGGGACTTTGTGGAATCATTGAGTCCAGTCCCCTGCCATAGGCAGGAAGTCTGCTGGGGTCAAATGATCCCAGCAAGATAAACATCCAAACACTTTTTGAATGAATCCAGAGTAGGTGCTTGCATCACCTCTGGCAGGGAGTCTATTCCAGACCCTGGACACTCAGACTGTAAAGTTTTTCCTTATGTCCGGTCTAAGCCAGCCTTCTAGGAGTTTGTGGCCACTAGACCTTGTTATCCCTTGGGGAGCCCTGGAGAACAACTGTTCTCCCAGGTCCTGATGTATCTCCCAGATCCTGGTCCCAATGTATCTCCCAGACCCCCCTTATATACTTATAGGCTGCCACCAAGTCCCCCCTGAGCCATCTTTCTTCAGGCTGAAGAGTCCCATGTCCCTCAGCCTCTCCTTGGAAGGTTTGCTCTCTTGGCCTTTGATCATATGAGCAGCTCTCCTCTGGACTCTCTCAAGCTTATCCACGTCCCTCCTGAAGTGGGGGGCCCAAAACTGGACGCAGTACTCCATCTGCAGCCTCACTAAGGCCGAATAGAGCGAGAGGATGACGTCCTTGGTTCTGCTTGAGATGCATCTGTGGATACATGCCAGTGTTTGGTTTGCTTTGTAGGCCATGGCATCACATTGGTGGCTCATGTTCATCTTGTGGTCAATCAAGACCCCCAAGTCTCTTTTGGTCATGGTGCTAGCGAGTGAAGCACAGCTGAGCCTATAAGTATGATGCTGGTTTTTCCTCCCAAGGTGGAGCACCTTGCACTTCTCTACATTAAATGCCATGAGGTTTTGGTCCACCCACCATGTCCAGGTGGGCCTGTATCACCAGCCTGTCTTCCAGTGTGACTGCCTTCCCCCATAGTTTAGTGTCGTCTGCCAATTTTGCTAGTCCACATCTGATGCCCGAATCCAGGTCATTAATGAAGATGTTGAAGAGTACTGGCCCGAGTACTGAGCCCTGAGGTATACCACTGGTCACCTCGTGCCATGTAGATTTGCTCCCATCAACTAGTACTTTTTGGGTCTGACCCCAGAGCCAGTTCCCCAGCCATCAGACTGTGAGATGGCTGAGGCCACAGTTCCCCAGCTTAACCATGAGGACATCATGGGAGACGAAATGAAAGGCTTCCTTGAAATCCAGGTATATGACATCAACCTCATCTCCTTTGTCCAGGCAATGTATCATCTGGTCATAGAAGAAGACGAGGTTGGTCAGGCAAGACCTTCCAGCAACAAAGCCATGTTGGCTGGCACTCAGAAGGTTACCTTCTGTTAACCTGTTGCCGATGGATCCCTTCATGATTTTCTCCAAGATCTTTCCAGGGATGGACATCATACTGATTGGCCTATAATTCCCTGGATCTTCCTTTTTCAGTTTCTTGATGATTCTTTCAAAATAAGGCACAAGAAATGAGAGCCACAAGATGAGAAAATATCACAGATACATGCACTCGCTATTATACAAAAATATTTTCTTACGGGGGTATGAGGAGAGGAATGGGATTCAAATCACGCTCTTACTAATTTTAAGAGGATCTGTATTTGTCCATTGGCCGTAACAGAGCAATTTTTCTGAGTAAAACCTAAGCAGCACTAACAGGTTGTGTACTGCAGGTTTCAACAAAACATGAACAACTGATATGCTAAACTAAATTTCTCACATCTTGCCAAGTATATTGCTGATATCATGTAAATACTTATGCTTTACTATCTACTTAAAGTCTGCTGTTTGTACTACTGAATATTCAACTTAGGTTGAGAAAACAAATGGATCAATAAGCTTATTCATTATTTCTTCGTGTCAATCACAGGGTCCATCTGGCCACCGCAAATCCTTGTGAAAGGCACCTTTGCAGCTTCGGATTTGATAACCATGTTCAAGTTTCAGGCCTGGCACAGATGATCTCCAGCCAATAAACCCCTGAGTAGTTTTAGGGACTGGAGGAGATGGATAGGCCTGGAATAAGAAGACATCAAGTACATTTATTAATGGAGTCGTTTTCATTTCTATGATGCTGCCATGCAACATGCCCTAATGTATTCTAGCACTGAAAGAAGGTAAAACTTAGTTTTAAACAACCAGTGTTCAAGGGTAATTCATTGCATGCTGGTGTTCTTCTGAAGCTTGGTATTTCATTTATTGGGTACTGCTTTACTCGGGGCTCCTTCTGCTTGGTTTCTAATGCTCTCAGCTTCCACTGAAATAGAAAGAAACTGAAGGGGCTTAAGGACATCCTGAGGTTGCCTAGTAGCTTGCAAGATTGAGCCTTACAGTACAGAAAGGCTATCACTGAAAATACATTTAGGAAAGTTGCTGATTCTTTCTAGGGCAAGTTATGATGAGAACATTTTAATAGCAGGGCCAAATCTGTCTAAGTTTCTGTCTTGCCTAACAGCTAAAACCCCTGCTATATTTAAATAAGCAGGTGTGGAAGAAAACAAAGCCATGTAGAAACAAGAGGTTAATCAGCAGGGATCCTGGTTTTCTCTAATTTAAAAAAAATCCCCAATTTTCGGTTAAAAAAAAGGTAACCCCAAATCTACATTTTTCCATGATTAAAATGAAACATCTCTATCTATCTATCTATCTATCTATCTATCTATCTATCTATCAGGGGGGTTTCATTTAAATCATGGAAAAATGTGGATTTGAGGTACTTTTTTTTAACCAAAAATTGGGGATTTTTTTAAATCAGAGAAAACCAGGTTCCCTGGTAAAAGGGCAGTGTTCTGTTTATCATTAGATCCTTAGTACTTATCAACATACATTATGATTTGAAGGCTGTTTTTTCCCTCACTGGTAATGGAAAGAGGAAGAATGTGAAAACTAGTATTAACATAACTTGGCAAGAGACAAAGATGTTTAATACAGCTTGAATTCTATCTTCTCATCCTTATCTCTGATTAATAAATCTCTAGGGGCTTTGCTTGATTTCATTATTAGGAACAGCATATAAGCCCACATATAAGCTTCAGCTGTCTTCCTCTTTTCATATACAGGCATACCTCATTTTACTGCGCTTCACAGATATTGTGTTTTTTACAAATTGAAGGTTTGTGGCAACCCTGTGTCGAGCAAGTCTATTGGCGCC